TCCCCTGGGGTGGGTTGGGTGGGTGCTTACAGGGCTGTTCTGAAAACTACTTCTGTGAGAACGCACCCTTTCGAAAGATTATTATCTATCTAACTGTTAGAAAAGTGTCAGAAAATTTGCATAAGATATGATAGCGAGAAACTTATCACCATCACAGTGCAATCGAGTCAGTCAATGTTTCCTTCCATGTCTTGATGAATACAACTGCGACAAAAAACAAAAGCAGAGAGGCCATGATGATTTTTCATCTTATCAAAACTATATTCTATGTTTAGGATAGCTTAATGATATCTTCCCTATGAAAAGAGAAAAGTCAGCTGCTCTTGTTCATTATCGAAGCGGAGAGTCAAGTGAGTGTTTGAGATGCTGATATCGTTTGGTCTTTCAATCTCCTGAAGTAATTAATTTTTGTAGTTAAAGCAGGTGAATTAACTGATCCCGTTGACTGTGAATATCAGGCAGTGTAACTCTCCAAGTGCTAAAAAGTAAATTAAAATTTTCCACATAAATTAAAAGCCTTTTTGTTCGTGTTTTCGTTCCTCGTCCTTTGAGCGCTGACATAGTGTAAACCGTGAAGGGAATCCTTCCATCTATCTTCAAGTCAAATATTTAGAAAATATAACTTTAAAAAATTGTCTCTGATTATTTGATTTTTATTTTGAAAGAATGTGAATGTGTGGAGAAGAGAGTCATGTGTCAGCTCCAAGCACACCGTAGAATCCTTATGTCATTTGTTAGTTGCATGTATGAAATTATTTCTAAAAGAAGTGAACTTAGCGGAGACAGTAAAAATCGGAACAGTAAAAAGATAGTTTCTGATGTACTCATTTTAAGAGCCCAAGGTGTCAGTGTATCATAATTCTTCTGGGTCTTGTATAATAACCTCTGGGCCTTGTCTTGGACGGAAAAACTTATGACGGAATACCTGAAAAAAAAGAGAAAGAAAAATTTGTTGTCATGTTCTAATAATGATCGACTGACAGGGTCAAGAAAGAAACTTTGTATAAAGTACTTTGCTCAGAATTAATGGACATGTTCAAAAATTTCAAGGAGAGAAGGGTGCGCGACCAAAGTTTTGTTTCATTATCTAATAATTCCTAAACTTTTGAGAGACAATTAAAAATATTATTCAACTGCAAGTTTTCATCTTCTTTTTACGCGCATTTTTCATTGTTTCTCCTACGTGATTTTAAAAGTAAACAGTCAAACAAATATTCTGCAAAAAAATTGATGTCTATTATTGAACAAAATCCCAGTTCAACAAATTGTAAATAATCTATTGTTATGTAGTTTCATGATTTCTTTTATTGCTATAAGCAGAATACCAATTGTCGAAAGAACATGTTTTGTCACTAACGTACACCCGAAATCGTCAATGCAATCTTCCAACAGAAATAATTTGTTGACTAGAAGAGGCTCTTTTCTTATGAAAGGAATCAACGAAAGTTGCTGTTACCTTTTTTAGTAAAATTAATCATCCAGAAGAAACAATCATACTTCAGTGTCAGCATGAAAAGTAAACATTTGGCATCAATCAATCAATCAATCAATCATATCCTTTATTTAAACACGATGAGGTTTAAAGCTGGGGGCTTGTGGGGTCGTGTGAATATGATTACAATAACAATATAAATAGTTTCCCTTAAAATCACTCTACAAAATATACAGTAAGAATAATAAAAATGATTTACATTATTTATCTCTAAGTAAATTGACTACAGCGTTTAAAACATAAAAATAGTTAAAAGCATTTAAAATCTTGGTAGTGCCTGGGTAGTGACTGGACTGACTGTGCGCTAAAATCGAGATCCTTAAAATAAGAGTCCTTCTTCACTTTGCGATAAAAAACTGAAAACTGGTCTGTGAAATGTTTCGAGACAGCGTTCCAGAGTATAGCGCCTCTATAGCTAATGGAGTTTTTAAGAAACTGCGAGTTAAAACGCGGGACAATTATATTATTACTCCTTCGAAAATTGTATGTGGTGCATGGTTTGTTTGTTAAGTATGACAGAGCCGTAGGTGCTTCACCTATAAACACGCTATGGAGTAGTTTAATTAATCGAAGTTTATAATAGAGGGTTAAAGTATTCCAGTTCGAATGTCGGTAAACTTCCTCAGTAGGCATATCTCGGGGCAAGTTGTATATAATTCTGGCCGCCCTACGGTGAAGTACTTCTAGCGAATGTAGAAGCTCTGCATTAGGGCAGCCGCCCCAGACGACTAGTCCGTATAGAACTGATGGTAGTATTATCTTGAAGTATAAGTCCAATCGGGCGTTTCTGTTCAAGAACGAACTCCTTTTCAACCTCAACCACATGGCAGAA